TGTCATCTGCTTTCCATTAAAATGAAGAAGCTTATGAATATTTAAAGAAATTGATAACGGCACATTATCACTCACCATCAACGAAGTGATGTCCGCAAACAGTGAAACACAAGCGAGATGACTTCTGGACTTGACACCAAGCAGTCCTATCAATAGATGATATCCACATTGCGCGACGTTCAGAACCTTTTGAAAACAGTGGAATATAACTGAAGATCCATTTCGTTATCTATACTATACGTACAGCCAACGGAACAATACGAAATAACCATTTTCAACAGCCAAACAAAACGGAAACGTATTATCCGACTTGCAACTGACAAGAGCCAAATGGACGGTTTTTTTTTGCCGTCCAGTAAACAAAGTCACGTGACCCGTGCAAGTCCTCTATGCACTCATACACGATACGACACTTTAATTAAAACATGTTTAAATAAAATAGACAACTTGTTACAAAAAATAAACACAACGTATATGTTTACCGTATTTTACGGATCATAAGTAGGACTGGGCATTTCGAATCGAAAATTATTCGAATCGAGACAGAGCAAAATTTCGAATCGCCGCCATCTTGTGTATTTCTTGCCGCCGATGGTCGAGGTAAATTCTTTGAGGTGTTATATACATTATATATATTGAGGTGTTATATATATGATATTGTGTGTGAACGTGTCTGGAGGACCTAATACAATAAAAAAGTTACATACAATGTTATATCTCCCAAGTGTTCGAAATTCGATTCAAAAAAAATATTCGATTTGATTCTGAAATCATCAGGTATTCGAAAATGCCCAGCCCTAATCATAAGGCGCACGATCGATTATTGTGAAAAAAAAAGATTTGAAACTCGCCTTATGGTCCGTAAAATATGGTGAATAAACTTTATGCACAATGTATGTCTGGCGTATCCCATGTTTTTTATCTGCTTGTCATAATACCTTTTATACTAAAAATCCAAAACATTTAAAAACCACAACGAATTCTGGGTGGCACTACTATAAGTTGCCAAGTAGGCTACTACAGTCTTGCACCAAAAGCTGTTTTCATTCTCATTCTATTGCCTACAAGATACCCTTCCGAACAAGGGAAGAGGTGGAAAAAAAGCAATTAAAGATGCCTATACACTAAAGCAGGGGTGGGCAAATTACGGCCCGCGAGCCGGATCCGGCCCACCTGAGTATTTCAACCGGCCCACTTGTGTCTGCTCAAATTATGACTATAGTTTTTATAAATATAAATTCCCGTAAAAATATTGATGACAGATCGTCGACTAAAGTAAATAATGGAATTCCTCGCGTAATATAATCCACCTGAATAAAATGTGCAAAATCATCCATACGAATTATTTATTTCATTTCAAAAACTCTAGCTCTAACGTTCGTGAATACCCCAACACATGTTATTTATTACTTTTTGTCTAGTACAGCAATCTTGGAAAAGGGTATTAACATCCTTCGGGGAGCGAAAGAGATTAGACACGGGTGGCAGAGGGGCAATTATGCATTGTCGGTGAAGAAAATTGAGTTAAAATCATCGATTGTTTTTTTCAGTATGACGTGGGTGTAAGCCGTGAACATCGGAATTATGTCGGCAAACTATATTACCTCGGAATTTTCGATTGGAAACTATAACATAGTCCAGTGGTTTGCAAACATTTTGTTGTGCGGCGCCAGATTCACGGTTAGTTTAGATTTGTAATGCTCTTCCTTTGTCGTAATAAATTGTACTCATAGAATTTATAGCCGACCTTAGGATATTGCGAACGGCGATTTTCTAAAAATATCTTAAACCAGGAAGAAATTCACTTTACTTTTACATCACTGAAACGGGTGGGCGATTGACTGATAAACTTGCGTTTTGTGAAGCGCTATGACTTGACAAACAAGGCGCATCATTTACTCGCGTGATACCGTACAACCTCTGAATTTATCGAATGACATATTAACCTCAATGTTACATTGAGTTGTCGTTCAACTAAACGTTAGCCAAGATGCTGAGCTTCTTTTTCTATCAACTTTCTCTGTGCAGCTGCCATAATTTGCCATCCTCTGTAACAACGTCCCATTTAATCATTGTGTCTAGTTATTTGAGTTTTGATCAACCGGCCCAGTAATCAAGTCTATTATTCGCATCCGGCCCACTCAGAAAAGTAATTGCCCACCCCTGCACTAAAGAGAAAGGCACGGGAAGCAAGGTTATTACCTCACTTTTTACAACTGGTTGATGAAATCCAAGAGCAACGTGCACCTTAAGTAAGTAATGAAGTATTTTCTCGGTATAAACATGTATATCTTCTAATCTAAGCAGTGTGTTGACCGATAAAACATGTACAGCTGGGTGAGGTGTGTCAGATTTTAAGTGAAGTAAGAAGGGTGTATCATTTCAAAAAAGGTCGACGAGTACTGGTACAGAGTATGTTACAAACCTGGTGTGCTTTAATAGAATTCTATTTGGTTTTTTTTATACCTGTTCGTTCTCGTCGAATCGACTACTAGTAAAAATAATTTCAACCAATGAAAATAATTTCAACTATATATATATAACATTGATGCCATTAAATATTTCTCAAATAATTTCAACAGCACGGAGAGCCACGCTCCTTGTAGTCCATATGTAACGTACGTTACCCTGGTCGGCCAGCTGGTGACTTTAACAATAGTACAATTAATTTTGCGACTTTGTAAATCTTCATTACATATTAGAACTTCGGTCGTTGTCGCTTGATAACCAGCTTTCGTTCCCCGCAGCTTTCCTTCCCCAGTAAAATTGTGTGTTGTACGTTTTGTCGTAATTTTCTCTGCTATCGTCCTTTATTAGGAAAAACAGATTTGTCTATGACCAAGTTACCCCCTTAGAAGGAGAATTTTGTTCCATTAGTCGCCAGTTGACAGAGAAAGAGAGAGAGAGATTTTATTTTTTGGTCAACCCAAATAAAATATAACAGTCATCGTAATAATAATAATAAATAATACCAAGTAATAAATTAGTTTTGTATAGACATAAGGGAGGGATACGACCAGGCGGTCGTCAAAATCAACAACATTCTAAATTAGAATTTACAATTGTATTCACAAAATGGAATAATAATTTCGGGGAAGGGAATGCTAAAGTACATCATTTTTGTTGATGATGTTTCAAAATTTCAGAGATTTCAACATTCAATGAAGGATTTCATAGATAATTACACTGAACGTATTCAGATAATTTATACCACATATGTGATTATTAAGCAGAAATGTTTCATTTTATGGCTTACATACACAATGCAGGTATAAATAACTTAAATATTCTTTTAATGTGCCAACTTAAGGAAAACAGTCAATCGAGCGGTTAATGCCATCAAATTTCCCAAGAGTTCAGCCTAACAAGCATTATAACAGCATAATTTTATAATTATATTGATAAATATTGTGTTTGCGGAGGAATGTCAAATTAAGATATAAGACAAGTAAATAACAAATGAAAAATGTAAACAATTATAATAGTGTGAATTGTTGTAACAGCAAAAATACAATGCAAAGATGAAGTCCAGCATTTTCATTTCATAAAATATGAATATAAAAAGCATGTAAATTTTGAAAAGGTTCTCGACTTAATTACCTTCAACATATCTGCTGTGATTTCTATGGCCACTAACTTAATTCGCTTCAGGTCTTGTGTCAGCCTATATCGCCCAATATATATTTCTCAAAAATAAAACTGCATGTAACTCGCATCGAGTTTGTGGTCGCTTACAATTCTTCTATCACTAGTCTTTCGTGGGTGGGCATATGTTATTAAGCGACAATTTCGCTGTCATATGTTGTCGTTCTTATCGACATTTTATATTGTCATGTCTGTATATATGTTAGTCTGACGGTATCGCTGTACGTAGTATCTTATTACTATTATACAAGAAATTTGACATTGTCCTATGCTGATGTTTATATGTTATTTGATGCTGCGAACGCTAGTGCGTTTTGGCCCCTGGAAAATATTATTACTATCATTAAAATAGATTTTTACTTGACAAACTTTCAGAGTTCAAATAGGGATATGGTTGGATAACAGATTCAATTAACAAACATACACCAAATTTTCCAGAATATTATTTCAAGAATTGATACGTAATACAAGTCATGATAGTTTATTTTAAGGGAGAAAAAGTGCATGTTCATTTATAAATTTTATTGTTGAAGCTTCGTCCGAATAGCAGTTTATTGATTAAATCGGCCAATTAAACACGTGCAACATAATTAATATTTATGCAATAAAAGTTGGTAGATGAGGAGGTTATTTCAGAGTTATGTCCGGAAGGCAGGTCAATTCTCACCCGTATGCTGCAAATTTTATGTGTACCCAAAACATAATGTTTTATTTGAGATGTCCGTATGTAAAACTTCCTTCCGCAGCTGTCGGCGGAAAAAACAGTATTTTAAACTGTTGGTAAGTACCATTGCTCATTCATTTCGACGTACATCCATCCAAAATTAGGGCTTGAAAAATTTATTAGGATAGCAGTTCGTCAAAAACATTCGTTGTTAGGCTTCTGTACAAAGTTGACCTGGTTTAAGTCCGTGTTTTATCGTCCGTCTGCATTATTCAGATTGTTTGACAAGCGACCTATTGTCCTCAAAAACCATTCGTTTATGCACGAGCAAGATGTGCAGGAGAAGTTTCAACACGTGTTATAATTAATCGTTTCGTCTTGTTCAAAAACACTTGCTTGCAAAGTGGTATAACCGCAGAACGCATTCGCCCTCTCGGAATGTACTTATAAATCTCTAATTTTGACACTTTTAAACTACGGGAAGTGGAAACACTACGTAAAGTAAAGACCATCGATAATTATAAAACGACCTAGCAGTAAAAACAAGACCAGGTATGTTTTTAATTAACTTGACAGCGCCAACAGTGAATATGTTCAATTTTTTGGTCATTATCATCATGTGTTATATTGAAAACCAGCTACATAGTCAGTACTATAAAGTAAACTTATTGATAAAAGCATTGTAATTGTTGTTTGGTATTTTATCCTGTACGAAAAAAAATAGTGTAGTCAGTTTCGGAAAGATACATCCATCACGAAGTCAGAGTGCGCACGTGCATAAGGACCTACGTAAGTGTCATCAATCAGATTATGAGTTATAGTGACATGACCGTCGCTCTCTGTTAATAATTTAGTAGCAGCAACCGTTTGCTCCAGATAACATGTATATATCTTCTAATACGGAAGGTAAACTTGAACGCACACACCCAAAATTTAGTCAAGTGAAGTTTAAAGTAATGCAGGAATGCTCTACATAAATAATGCTGTTTGTATTCAGAGTTATAATAATTTAGATAACAAATATATTAATTATTTATATCGCAGCATAGGCAAGCCCGATGTTTCATGCATATTAATCACTATGTGATGATGGTTATGTTTTTATAATAAACTTTTTGGCCTAAAATATAGATAGGTGGTCAATAATCGTTTACCAGTGCTTATGGGAATATGAATTAATCCTAATGGCTGAGCAGATGCATATATTATTTCGTAAATATAAAAGTAAGACGTCTCGAAGCTGATTTCTAACTTCGACTTTATCTTTGATGTCGAAGGATCTTTCAGAAATCCTCGAAGATGCAGTTAATAGTGATAAAACTTTGCGTTATATTTGGACTTCTGGTTTTGACGTTCACGGCAGCATGCTTACCTCTACTATTTTTAATTCCTTTCCTGGGAAATAACAATGACTATATGCAGTCTTCGACATCGGGTACAGCTTTGTCGCAAATTTTATATCGAATATTCCCGTGCTTCAAAAGAAGAAGAGAAGGAAAACTTTCAACTTCATCGGACATTTCAGACGAGAATGGCAGTGCAGAAAAGGAAAATCAGTCCAAAGAAGGTCGTGGCAAAAAAACAACCCTATTTCTGGATGTTATGAATTGTTTCTCTGGCGGCGTGTTTCTCGGGACAAGCTTTCTCGCCCTGATGCCCGAAATTAGAGAAATCTTTGACGAAGTGGGAATAACATGGCCTCAGTTTTATTCGTAAGTACACTTTTACGTTCTCTTTTCACGGAATGGTTTCAATTTTACAGAAAATCGTTTACTTCTCGACACTATTCCGTTTCATTTCAAGTGATTTATGTTATAATTGAAAATGGCGAAATCCTGTTGTCGTGTTTTAAATTAAAATTTGCAGAAAAACGTTTGTAAAATTTGACCATCCTTTAATCGTCAGGGGAAGGGTTCAAGTGGACGTTAATTCCACCTTGACTGTTTTATTCTAAGTGACTATTACTGTTACTTTAACGAAAAGTTCCTTTAAGTATATTGCATCATTTTATTACCGTATGAAACGCCCTTTCACGCAGTGTTTTGGACATATTGATTATTTTATAATGCAATCGATGTTCACGTAAACTATTCTATTGACTTTAAGTTCCACAACCAACTCTACAATTTTTGCCGACGAAGAGGAAGATAGACCTTTGATGCCGATAACAGAACTTTTAGTTACTTCTGGTCTTTTCCTCATATTGTGTGTAGGTAGGTGAAAATGTTTAAGTTTGAGAAAAAGCTTTACCGAGGCTTGTGTACGTATGACATTGTTGGCTAGAAAGTGATTCAACTATTTTAATTGTCAAGCTCCATTCTGTAAAATGAAAAATAACAACATAAAATATATGACCTTCAAATATTCTTTGGTTCTTTTGATATACCACGTGGACTTTGGACTTGATCGAAACACCCATAAACGTTTATACACATTTAATGCATATATACAAATATATACATACTTACATGTACATCCTTTTTTGTGTTTGAATATCAGTTTATTTTATGATTTTATAATTAATATATATTGGCGTCGATGATACACTATAGGCAAGCATTGAGCATTGTCGCAAATAGACAATATATAGCAATTTGTCTCGACGTACCACAACGTTCTCTTGGAACATCACGCATTAGCTGATGTTCCTATTTGAATAAAAGGATAAAGCCTAATTAACTTTGATGAATTTGGTCTTTGATTAATACGGCACTGACAACAATAACAGTGGTGTTTGTTTAATTTTGCCAGAGCAAGTAGTCCACTCAATTACCGATAGAAATCATCACAAAGGTGATGGAAGTCATCACCACGAATCTGAGACTTCTCCCTCCGAAAGAACTAAAGTTGCAGTTAATGGAATCAAAGGAAGGGCGGTGGTAAAGGTAACGGTACCAAACGAAGAAAGCGTAGAAACAGAGGCCGTTTTCATCGACGATTTGGCGGTGGATCCTGCGAGTGAGCAACAGGGTCTTACAGAAACTGAAAGTGCATCGAGCGAGGGCCACGAAGATCACCACAACGATTCTATTGTACGATCGCTGATCTTAGTAACCACTCTTTCAATGCATTCGTTGTTGGAAGGCCTGGCGATTGGATTGCAAAAAACCGCAAGCAGCGCACTATCTATTTTTATTGCGGTTCTTTTCCACAAATCTCTAATGGCATTTAGTATGGGAAATAATTTGATCCAAGCTGGGCAATCCGTTAAAAGCATTTTGATAGCTGCTGCCGTTTTAGCCATGACATCGCCCGTAGGCATTGCCGTCGGAACTGTCATGAAAGAGACAAGTAGTGGAACGGAGATTGTCAACGGCGTCTTACAGGGCATCGCTACCGGTACTTTTTTGTTCATCACTTTTTTCGAAGTATTGTCCAAGGAATTTGCAAGTCACACAAATCGCGTATACAAAACCATAGCGTTTATACTTGGATATTGTTGTATTCTAGCCGTCATGTTTACACATCACGGGGCATGATACGAACATAACGCGATTGAGAATTGGTTCAGTTAATCTTGAAAATTATTTCAATATGCTTGAGAACCGAAAGTCATCTGTTACTATTCTGTTTGTTATATGCTGTAAATGAATAGCGTTTTGGAATTGTTGTGTAGTCGGGTTTGTCGATAATTAATGTCAATTTTGTTTTAACTTTTATAACTCTTCGCGGGAATTGCATCAAACCACTTAGCTTTCTCATCCATAAATAATATACGTGAACGCAGTCCAGATAATATTGTTCACGAGAATGAAGTAAATTTAAAGTTATCGAAATAAATGGTATTCATTTACATAGATAACATGCAATGGTTGGATTTTTCCACGAGAAACATTTAATGCTTTGTTGTGCTACATGTTATGTTAATTAATACATATATGCACCAATTTATGAGCTTTGAATAGGACCAGACACTGTTGGAATATGTAATGAACATAGCTACTTTTCGTACATGGTAATAAATGTGTGTTTGTAAATCTTTTGATATAGGTCATTTGCGTATGGTATATATATATATTTAATTTTGTCATATCTACATATTTCAATATACGATATTCTTGCACCTCAATCATGTTATCAGTTTGATTTCGATATCGGGAAATAATTCCTGACTATCTTTTCGAAGCACCATGGAAATCTTGTTTTTGATTATTTTACAATTCTTCTTCGCATAACAAATTCAAAATTCATCGGCCATTTTGCTCTCAGGTTCTAAAATCTGCCATTTTGCTACTGAATGAACTTCAGTTATGTGGCTCGTACAGGCAAAGTGAAAACCATTATACTTTTATCGAGTTCATGTGTTTAAGTCTGGGGGCACAACAATTTTCAGTAAAGTATAAAATGTTTGGTTCTGTCGTCAAGATGACATATCTTTCAAGTTCTTAGAAATGCGGTTTTAAACTGGATCACCCTTTAGAATGTTTAGATTTTTGGGCGCCGCCTTTCCCCCACTTCATACACACTCTGTTGGATTGTACTACTGATTGTCGTAATGTGAGCATTCATGGAATCATGTTCATTTGATTCTTAGACGCAATTTTATATTATTGTTTGGTTTTTGTCTTTTTGTATACTCATTAGGGTTTTCCTCGTTAACTCCGTATTAATAATTAATGCTTCAATGTATCTTAAAATGTTCATAAATATTTACACAATAATAAATTTGGATCAATAATATGGGTAATAGTATATAAATAACGAATACACGCTTACTCATTAGCTCATTTATATAATAGGTTAATATTGCATTTACCTACCGAAAGTTTTTTACTTTTTTATTGGGCGAAATCCATGCATAATCATATTGATTAAAATTATTTCATCATAGATTAACATTAACGTTATAAAATACAATAATGATAAAAAGAAAAGAAGCCAAGCTGAGTCGATAGCATCCTAATGACCCCAAAATAGATTGAGAGTATATTACAAATTAATGCGTATATAATAGATCTTTTATAATTTGCTCTTACGCAAAAAAATGTTTACTACAAACCGTGTGATTGTGACGTCGCTGTGTCTAGTTAAAGAATAATGTCGAGCGTGTATTTAGAATAGGCGAATCGTCTTGATCCACCGTTGGTCGATTGGTTGAATGAGCAATGTCTCCACCATCATCGAATCTCATTTACACTTGAACGTCAGTGAAATCATAACATTAATTCGTGATTAATTAAAATACTGTCATGAAGTTTTGCCTACGGGTGTATCAAGGGGTCTCTATCGCATTTTTTGTTTGGATTGATACTGAAAAAATGATAACAGTACCAAATGGCCCGAAACAATGCTGCGCATTTTATCTCCGCGCCAGTACATAGTAATGTGACTTGGTAATTTTATTTTGTTGCACATTGTGCTTGTGTGGAGTGAAACTCCTAAATAATAAGCCAATGCAGCTATCCGTAAAATGTCTGTATTGTGTGATAATATAGGATTGATTGACCCTATCTGCGTGTTCGCACTCACGTGTTATTGGATTGACACACGTTTAATATAGTGTAACTCCGGTCTAAACTCCTCAGAAGTCAATAAGCACACAATATGTTGTAATGCCAATTGTTCGTATATGTTATATGTATATAGCGTATATGTATATTCGTTCGGTCGAATCCAAAGCAGTAAGAATCGGAAGAACATAAAAAATCCTATATTTCAACACTCGGAAGAGAACCAGAAACACACGTTATCAAATCGGTCGAGACAAAGAACGCTATGCACAAAGAAAGCTAAGGCCTGAAGCTGTCGCGATAAATCTCTATCAGGAAAATAGGTAAAATGACCTATTTTCATTGAATTCAACATACTATTAATATAAAGGGGTTAAATAACATTCATAGTCCATAGTTACAAGCCACATTCGCTACAATGGCATAATTTCTATAGTGAAATTGCGGTTTTATACCATGACGCCATGAGGTTTGTAACCGATTTCTGTATGGTTTTCTCGTATGCCAGGGAATTATGTTTCGTGAAATTCTATTGAATAATAAATAATACGTTTTAAGCAGTGATGGAATTCCTAATCTTAAGTACGTGTTCTATTTTGTATCGAACTCACTAACAACGCCCACTTCAGAAAAAAAATATATATATATTACTATACGTAAGCTACATTAGCACAAAACGATTTACCTAAATCTGATATATAACGCAGCTACGGTGCACGCCGTCCTTCACTGTGATAGTTAACGTCTAAAACAAAAATTAGGAACGGGTTCGCTGATATCACGACATTCCAAGAGCGGGTTTGCGCAAACACCCTGAATTCCCGCCACCGGTTTCAATCTACTGCACAAGATCCTATCACAGAAAGCACCCCTTTGTAGAGAATCAGACTTTCCACAAATTTCTATATGTTATTTTATTGGCATCTTTTGACGCATCGAAGGGCAAAAAATCGAAAATGGCACTCCCCTTCATGGGGCACAAGCAGTTTGTTGGCAATCGCAAGAAGTAATAAAATTGTAATTGTATGGCTCGATGTCTCCATTATCGCAGAGCAAATCTTCAGTTCTGCTCTCCACTGCAGTTGATTTACAACAGTTACATGTTGTGTCAAAATCTCCCGTTAGTCTGCAGTATAGAAATTAATTGGTGTATAAGAATAATTATAAACAAATTAGAATAAATATGGCTTCGATTTAGATTCTAACTAGAACGCAATGATAATAGGATTGAAAACAAAATTTTGAGTAATCGAGTTAACATCATGTAGTTTTTAGATCAATGTTAACAACAATTCACTACTCACGTGTTGTAATCAGAAAGTGTTGCACAGGTTCCATCACATTTTGGAATATTTACATCGGTCTTAGAGCAGGCTACTCCATTTGCATTGGTAATAACAACATCTTCATAATTTTCAATTGCATGGCAGGAACCAGGGGTGTGACCTTATGAATAACATATATATTAAATGGTACGATTCACACATGAAAAATAAAATTTGTTGTCAAGTAAATTTATTAGTTATTTTTTCAGGTGAGACCGATAACGCCGATAACTAAATTTCAGACAAAATGGAAACATTCAGTTCTACACTGACAGATATTTAGAGATTTTTTTCAAACATGTTACATCTGTATATCTGGCCGTGTGGTGTGTTAATGTTGTTCATAACATTTTTTTCTTGTTGACAATTACGCGTTTATAAAAATTTTTCCATTTGGCTGCATAATGGCGCGACTGTAATCAAAATCGTCACTGGTATACGCTGTACTGCCGCGTTTCAAGTGCGCGTGTCCTACAGTGTGTATATGTACCATAGTATGCTGAAAAACTAAACCATTGATCTCATACATGCATCGTAATGGCTGGAAGTTTGGATGTTGATAGAAAAGTTTAAAAATGTTACACCTAGAATTTTCATAAATTAGCGTAGAGCATAACCTCACTCAGAGTATAAAAGGTACCGTATTCTAAATTGAATGGCAGATACAAGTGCGTAGAAAAACTGCGTCTTATGCATTAATTTTCCCGATGCCAAAGTGTGAAACAACATCGATAATTTCATAACTTTAGTGTGGAATTTGAAATGCATCATAATACAAAAGTTTGCAATGAAAGCGAATTGAAGATGATGGTAAAAAAATCAACAATTCTACAAGTTCAATTAAACTGAAAAACTCACAATAAAAGCAGCATCCTTCAGTTGTCATATTAGGCATGACTTCACCACCACCCTGATAAAATATATTAATATTAACATCAAACTAATTCTGGTGTTTGAGTTTCAGTTTCCTCCAGCATAATTATTAGCGAAATCAGTGCTCAAAGGATGCTAAGTATGACAAGTATTCGATTCTCATCCAATTCCTAAAATTTTGATTTCGATTCTCGATTCCGAATCCTGATTCCTCGACATAGCTTACCGGAGAAAACATACCCACTTAAACAATACCATATATGAATTCGAACAAGAGATCGATTTTCAAATACCGGTATATGGACATGAAGACCAAAACTAAGTAGTATGGGTATTCAATCTGTCACAGTAGACAAAATCGCACACAACAAAGTATCCCTTAGAGCCCACAGAAATTTTTGAAATACATTATATAAGCGTAATAGCCTTCTAGATAAAAAATTACAATTTTTACCCACTAAAAATTTAACAAAGCAATTGTTCCAGTAGGACTTGTCACAAAACGTTATACCTTGTTTACAATCCAAGTTTTAACTCTGAGAGTCGATTCCAAAACATCGGAATCGATTCAACAAGGAATCGATTCCGGAGTCGAGTCCGCCATACCTACTTATAAGATGACCAAACCAAAATGAATCAAAAATATATTAAATGGGACATGAATGCTACTTATTTTAGAATAAAAATTAATGGCAAAACCGCTCCACCGTCTTGTGCCTCAAAAGTATAGAACAAATGCAAAAAGTGTACATCCATCAACTCAAAATTGAATAACGTATTTATTACTTACCTCAAGACATGCAGCTTGATCAATATCAATGCAGTCAAACTTTTGATAAACTATAAGATTTGGGCAATGTGTTTTATTTTCCACACATTTCATTTCGAGGCAATGATTGTCATCTGCACACCAAACAGCATCGATCTGACAATGCAGCAAAATAGAATAGTACAATGTATATAAAAATACAATTTTCACACAAAAAAGGAAGTATATATGTATATGAGGCATAACTGCTTGACTAAGATTAATGTAGAGACAACAATTCAAAATCTATGCCCATGTACATTGAAATTCAAATTGAAATTTATTGGAGAATTCGATCTTCCCTCCTCTGCTAGTTATTGTATAGCTGCTTTTGTCAATATCTACCAATTAAGTTTCGAGTTTAGACTAAATTCACTAACAGCAATGCAACAGAATATTGTGTCTAAATTTCTATTCCAATTCCATTAATTTATTGGGATTTTTCTGCGCTACATACCGGGTAAACAACATTGTTCTCTAAGCATCCATAGCACTGGCATTCATAAGTTTGACAACATATATCCTGTGTCAAAGTATTGTTCGGAATCTTGTTGTAGTTTTCAGGACATGTGAAGTTGGCATGGGGACAAACATGCTGTAATGCTTCAGCAGTTTTACAGCGACATTCATATCTGCGAATAATTAATTGTTGTTAAAATGCAAGAATATAAAAATAGCAATATTTTCAACTTTACCAAAAATTATAGAAGAATATTGAAATTATATTTCATTCCCAAGGTGGGCATATTAAAATAATTTGTGTCTGCTTGTTTATTGATATGCTGTGCTGTTACATATTTGCTACTAGCAATACCATGAAATAATATTTAATCGGTGGAAAAAATTTTCCAGACTATTTTGTATTAAGCTCCACCAAAATAGATCACAAATTGACAGTGTTGATTCCAGTTCAATTCATTGATGCATGTCTTGTATATATAGGGAGAAAAACAGCATTGGTTCCCCGCGACTTTCCTTTCCCAGTAAAACTGTGACTGTTATATCGTGATTTGGGTGTGATTGATTATTTTTACTGGTTGGGAAAAATAAGCTTGACTCGAAGAACGCAATGAAAGAAAATTTTATTGATTTACTTTGGACAACAGTTATTGGTGTTAGGATCCCTTCCACCAGTATCATATACTTCTTGATATTCTCCACACTCCGGAATCTGAAATGGATAGATTAATTTGATGATATATGTATTATGTTAAGAATGCTCTGTATATCACTCCATCTATTACTCTGTATATACCGGTAATCTATTTATTTGCACAATAAATTCTTACCGTACAACACGCTTCTTCAGCTTGACATTGTATTGTTTGTCTAGGACAGCAGTGTGATATTGGGTTTAGAACTTCAGATTGATTTATATATTCTTCACATTGATACAATTCCCGAAGTGGACTGAAAAAAGGACATTCTAGACATTCACAAGTATATTCAGGACAACACTCAGTCAAAGAATTGGTACGATTCAATTGTTGCCATGCGCCACAGTCTTCATTCGTCATGCCGAATTGGGGACATACATTGATCAGTACAGAGTAGTCTTGACAAACAATCTTTGTCCGTGGGCAACACACAAAGTCAGGGTTTTCAGAGACTGACATTGGGACAATTTTCTCATATACTTCAATTTCTCTATCAACCCCACTACCAGGGTAGTCATCTCCACATGAAGCACAAATGCATTCGAGATGAGGACAACATATTCCGTCCGTATAAGTTTCATTTTTCACTTCATATTGTCCACAGGTCAGGGTATTACAAGTCTGTATTTCCTCTACAAACTGCTGAAGGCATTGACCATTCAGAATAGAATTTTCCTTGCATCGCAAAGTACGACAGGGATCACTTGTTGGAATTTCAGATCCAACAGGATAACTGAAATTATTGTATGAACATTCTCCGGGAGTTTCATCCACTGAGTAACATCCATCTTGCTGTCTATAAGAAGTACATTCAAATACAGAACATGGTTTGGTTGAGTCAACCCACATATCACCCAAATCATGTATTTCCCCATTATATAAACATGTATCACATATACATGTATATGTGGAGCAACAACCAATGGTAGAATCTGGGTAACGAATTTCTCCAGCAGGACAAGTTATGTTATAAACAGAACAATCATGTTCTAGTTCAACATCTGGTTTGCAAAATATATCATACTTCCCACAGCATTTTTTGTCTGGAGTTACACTCATAACAACTTGGCCCACTTGAAGAATAGAAATAAGGTATTCTTCTGTTATGTATCCTGGTCCACAGTAATCGACACATTCACATTCTTGAGTAGGACAACAGTATCCAGAAAGTGGATCAAGGGAGTCTAATTGTTTCATAACTTCATCCTCACCACAGGTTTTATTAACACAGCAAATAGCAGGATCTTTGCAGTAAATTTTTGTTTCTGGACAACAATCCTGATTGGGATTTTCTTCCAGCGTCTTGTTAACCACTTCTTGACAATCATGTATTGCTATATGAGGGCGTCCTTCTGCACATTTTGTCTCATCACAAATGCAGTCAAATGTGGGGCAGCAGTCAAAATAATTCCTCCGTTTTCTAATATATGCTGATGGACATTGCTTATCCCATTCTGGACAATATGACATCAGCACCGTTTCATTAGCACAGTGTTTTTGTGTTCTTGGACAGCAAAGCTGATTAGGGTTGATGTCGATTGGAACATAGACAAGTTCTTCATATGGTTCTAAATGCACATCCATGCCAGATGTGTAATTACTGCCACAATCTTTACATATACATTTGTAGGTTGCACAGCATTCCTCTCCTGTTGGTTGTATGATGTCTGGTTCCATAAAATCTGGGCATGTTATATCCAATATGCAAGGATCTTGTTCAATATGTAAATAATGAAAGCACTGATCATCTTCTTGTATAATTTCTTTGCAAGTGATGCGTTTACATTTGTCTTCTGGATCATCAAAAAATGCGTCAACACTAACCCTTGAAATTGTTCCACTTGGACTAGTATAAGAACAGTATGGTGCTTCTGTACTTATTTTGTAACACCCATCTGGTTGGTCTCGACTACCTGTGCATTCATAAATCAAACAAGAACCTGGGGTTGTGTCATTGAATCTATCTCCAACATTGTATGAAACATTGTTGTAAAAGCATACATCACATACACATTTTTCTTTTTTGCAGCAGTCAAGATCAGGACAGGAATGTGCCGCATCTATGTATTCACCCATCACAATTTCCTTATGATATCCTCCATCACATTTCATGAAAGGACAGTTTTTGCTGTCACATATTACAGATTCTTCCGAACAGCAGTCATTTTCAGTCAGTGATGTAGAAATGTTATTCCATGCACATAGTTGTGGCAAAGGTGCTTGTATTGGACAAGTTCGGCGTTGACATTGATATTGGTTACAGGTTGAATTACAGTCTCCAACAACAGTATAAGTTGAAACAATGACGACATCAGAGCAATTTCCACAGGAGGGTGGATCATCACATGGAGTGGGATCTCCAATACAATCACTCTCAATTACGCAGTCACATTCATCTCTTTTGGTAACAACAGCTCGACAGCCAGATGTCGACTGGCAAACAGCCGTCGCTTCTCTTTGACACTCATTTTCATTTGGGCATCGACAATATTTTGAAAGACATGTATTGTTATTTGCTGTTTCAATGATATAAGGTGCCTCACAGGTGATATTTTCATTAGGGTCTATTGGACAAATGCAAGTGTACTCCAAGCAGCATTGACCTTCCTGGAAAGAGGATGATAAAATCTTTGGGGTGTCACATTTTGGAACATCGGGACATGAAGATACATCACATTCACAATGATATGCTTCACAGCAGCCTATATCACTGTCATTTCTTTTTCTCTTATAATTTGTTGGACACACAACATCATAAGCAGAGCACAAATTGACCAGATCACTTTCATCTTTACATACAGCTGTGTAGTTAGCACAACATTCTTGGTTGATAGTTTGAACTATTTTTTGATCAGGTCCTAAGCTCTTTTCTATCTCCTCTACTGTAGTATAGTTTGCTCCACATGACTTACAGACACAAGTGTAAGTTTCACAGCAATCATTTGGATTGTCTTTGGTTCCATGTGGCTCTTTATCCGTTGGACAATTAGGTGCATTTTGGCATTCTCTGTCTTGTGTTAATAGATCTAAAGAGCACACACCATTATCAGTATTCCAGACACATTTGAGCTGTTTGCATGAATCTAATGGATGATCTGAATATGAATCAACTGATATAGACATATACCCAGATGATGCAAGGAAACTGCAATCAGCAGTATCTGTGTCTATGCTGCAGCCACTGACTTGCTGACTACATATCAAAGCCGTGCAAGCACCATCAACTAATGCATACCATTTTTCTCCTGGAGAATAAGTAGCCCCTTCGAATACACAAGCTTCACACTCACAGTAGTATGTTTCACAACAGTCAATATCTGTCTCATTTTTCTTTTTTGCATAATTTGGCGGGCAAGATACATTATATTGTGAGCACATGTCAGTGAGTTCTGAAGGGTCTTTGCAAACTGGCGTAAACAGAGGACAACACTCTTGGTTTGGGGTTGAAATGTGTAAGTCTTGATCTTCTCTCAATGATGCCAACCACTGATCTTCCGTAATATACCCTTCTTCACATGGTGGGCATTCACAACTCAACTTCTCACAGCATGTGTATCTTGTATCATTGGTCGGTTTTTCTACTACTACAGAATACTTGGGAGATACACATTCTGCTTCCATGTATATGTTGTCAGGACACTTCTCTTTTGCTTCATCAGAGGGGAGACATTCACATGTTGAGAAACACTCCGATGGATGAACAACTGGTACAGGATTCTGCCCAGGAACATTATCACATATGTTTGTTTCACTGTCAGGTATATATATAGGATTTGTTGTATTTGCTGGAAAAGTATCCACATCGCATTCGCAAGTATATATTGGACAGCATGGATTGGTGGTATTATCTATCTGTATAGTATGGTAATCAGGGCATTCAAACGGAGGAGGGAAACAGGTGATATTGACACAATTGCAAATAGTTGTATTACAGCAAACTGCATCATGTACACCAATTGTTACGGTTGGTAAATTCGTCCACAATCTTCCCCATGGACATACAACAGGTGGGGGACAATTTTCAGGTACACACTCGCATTCATATTCTGGGCAACAATCATGTTCTTCACTTACTAACGTCTTTGTATAGTTTTCTCCACATGTTTTATTCCACTGTGGACAAATATGCATCAGCTCAGACTCGGGCAAGCAATTGCATTCTGTAATGGGGCAGCATTTGTCAGTATCACCTGGAAGATAATACGACTCAAATCTTTTGTAATCACCACATGATTCTGGCAAATTGGTATTTTCTGTACACTCCACTTTAGTACACTGGTACGTATCACATGATGAATTACAAGCATTGTCATTTTGGTCGCTGCCAATGGCTTTTGCATACAGACATGAACCACATGTTGGAGGAGCGGTACAAACATCTGTGTCTGGAATGCATGTTATAGATGTAGGACATTTGCATTCATCTTCTGAATAAGAAGTAACGTTTGACTTGCATCCAGGAACAGAGTCACAGTCACTGAAAACATCAGGACAATCGCATATGCATATTTGAGATGGACATTCTCCTGTTGTATTTTCCTTAATTTGATATTGTGATTCACATGGTTCGCTGTTTTGAGGTATACACACACATTCTACAGCACAGCATGCATCAGATTCATTATATCGTGGCACCTTCTGGTCTCCACATCCTAGAGATGCCAGAGACGCACATGTATCAGACCTGTCATTAAATGTCACTTGACCACATTTCCCAGATTCTTCTTCTGGACAATAATATGTTATACATGGATTGGATGATAACACAGTCTCTCCAGGATTGATTGCAGCTTGTGTTTCAGGGTTGACACAGTCAGACGTGCAACCTGAAATGTAGCAATTTATCAGAATATATAGCATTCCACCAAGTCA